AGTGCTGGGGATTGTAGCAAAACCCTGAAGTTAATAGTAATAATGATGATCTTTTCTACCAAACAGTTTTGGCAAAACCCTGAGTGATAGACCTATAATGCAGTGACCTGTGACGTTCTAAATTTGATTCAATTCTTACAGTTAAACCAGAGAATTTCAAGTTCACAGTGAGTAAATCAACTGTGTGCCAGGGCACTGTGGTCACCTTCAACTGTTCAGCAGATGGAAATCCCTCGGTGGATACCTATCAGTTGTTGGAGAATGATACACTTGTGAGTAATGGCAGCAACAGTCTTGGATTGTGGAGCAGGAATATGTCAAGTGGAGGGGTGTTCATTTACAGATGCATGGCAAACAACTCTGCAGGAACAGCATACAGCATGAGCTTAACTGTTACAGTAACTGTAAATGGTGAGCAACTAATTCCATCTAAAATATACGATTATCATGGCGCCGTTTTTAAAAACAGTCAGTCATCTTAGGTAGAAAGTACATGTATCCATTTCCAAGCATGATTAAGTTGGGATAGGATTCTGGACTCCTGAGTTGCTCAAGAAACAATTTTAAAAAGAAATTACTTTCAGCACATGTACAGTGTACGATGTTTAAATTCTTGCTCTCTCTTCCTATGATTTCAATGCAGCGTTTTGTTATTCTCACACTAGAAGCTTAGCAGTAATAGGTGGAAAATGAGGTTGCAGCTACATTGTGCATTATTTCAGTGACTAAAGATTGCCTCAGGAGGGAAATTCCTTTGTTAGATTTAGTGCCCAACTAGTAATACTAGACCACAATGCAAGTGCTGTGTTAGTTACTTTGTAGGGCAGACTATGCTTGTTATCACAGATTGGCAAGTGGTCCTGAAGTAAAGCACAAACACATACCCATTAATCTCTTTTTAGTACTGCACTTGTGAAAAGGTGCAACCCCTCCACAAACTAAGTTTAGTCAGAAATTTCCTTGAAGGAGGACCTACATAGCAGCACCTACCAAGATAGAGTGCACTCTTATGCTGCAAAGGTCCCTCTTCCAGAGAGAGTCTCTCTCTAGTGGCTCAGTTAATGTCATTGGGTCAATTATCTTAGCACACTGAAGATCGCTCTCATAATTATTTCTTTTACTGCAGTTCACATGCATGATTTTCATATGTTACAAACATTGACTCATTAATAAACTTTTTATTTATGCATTCATTCATCCATTCATTCATTCATTGACTGGTGCATTATACTTTCAATGCCAATTTCCCCTTCATTGGGTCAATTATCTTAGCACACTGAAGATCGCTCTCATAATTATTTCTTTTACTGCAGTTCACATGTATGATTTTCATATATTCAGACATTGACACCAACAGTTCCTTTCAGCATTATTACTGTCCATTTGCCTTTGACTCAAAAATCATGATTGCTGGGAATGTCAATGAAAATCATGTAACAGTGTGGATAATTGTTTAAAAGCAGTCTGTGCTTTTCGATAAATTCCATCACATGGTTCAGAAAAAAAAATCATTAAAAAAAAATCATGTTAGCCTGCCATGCAAAACTCTAGCAGAGTAATGTGCATAGCAAAATCCTCATGAAAGGATTAATAATTTGGGTTACTGAGTTGTTATTTTTCCCATGTTCATGTCAACCTATAAATAATTTTGTTTTTTCATTTGTTTTAATATTATAGTATCCTCATCCATACAAGAAACACTAGATCAAAATGTAACTGAACGAAACAACTTGACTCTGACATGTATTGTATCTGAAATCCCAACACCAGTGGTGTCTTGGATTAAGCCTGATGGTCAGAGGATTAATGGAAGTGTGTTGGAGCTTTTAAAAGTTAGCAGGAATCAGAGTGGGACATACTGGTGTGAAGCCAGTAATGACTGTGGCAATGCAACAGAGATGGCAAGCATTGATGTGCAATGTAAGCAAAAGTTATCCTTTACTTATTGTATCATGTATTTCTGTGTCTTAATAGCATAGCAATTATTTGCCTCTGTTTTGCTGTATTGTTGCGGATAGACTTGTTTATGTGCAAGACTCAAAAGCATCCCTGAATAATTTCTTAAAAGTGGGTGAATGCGAATTTGTTTTTCCAATTGATCAATGAAAAAAGGAACTCATTCTAGAGTTGCAGTCACAGTAAGCTAAAATGGAAAGTTTTACCATCTACAATATTTGAGACAGTTTGTTCATAATTCTCTTAGACAAACCAGAGAACGTGCAATTTACATCATTTGCCATGGATAACAAGGCATGTGCGCGAGGCGATAGCCAAGAGCGACTCTAGCTTCTTGAGTGGTTAGCAAACCTCCTAAGTGCATCCATAACTCAATCGTGTGTGCTGTGGTGTTTACCATTTTTTTTATAACATAACATTGATACATTGTAGCTAAAGAGTTCCCTTTTATTTAACAAATCTTATGTGACCAGAAAAAACAAGCGCGCGCGGAAAAATAGTCTTTGCATTTGCTCACGTCAGCAGCGTACATCCATGGGCAAATGGGAGAGGCTAAACTGACCAATCAGAGCGCACGCTTTACTTTGGTTATGTTATAATTACAATATTTACACCATTTGTTTGTAATTCTCTTAGACAAACCAGAGAATGTGCAATTTACATCATCTGCCCTGGATAACAAAGCATGCAGGGGTGACTTGATTAGCTTTAACTGCTCAGCTGATTCTAATCCATCGGTGACATCTTACCAGTTGTTCGAGAATGACACTGCTATCTTAAACGCAAATCTCTCAGGAATGTGGAAAAGAAACGTGTCAATGGGCGGAGTGTTCATGTACAAATGTGTGGCCAACAACTCTCTAGGATCAAAATTCAGTTCATCCCTTATGGTCACAGTGAATGGTAAGCTTAACTGTAAAGTTTTTTTCTTGCATTCACTTAGCAATTTACATCATTGACTTAGCATATAGACTCAAGACATGCAAAAAGTAGAGTGAGAAAAGAGGTTTTGAAGATGTTGGTAATAGCACAGGCGGCCCAAGCGTACCTTGTGTGATTTTGGGGTCTAAAGTTCATTAACGGCAATGACTAGCATATTAAGGTCCAATTTTAAGCGTATGTGTCGACCGTTAAAAAAGGAAAAATTAAAAAAAAAATTAAGAAAAGATTTAAAAGAATAATCAAAGCGATGAATAAAATGTACGGTTGTTTTAATGCTGTTTTAGCTACTTTCTTTGTAACGCGTGCAGTGTCACCAGTGAACTGTATAATAGAAAACAACACTGTTGGTACTACTGAGAAGTCTGTCAATGTCACAGTAAAAGGTAGAGTGTATGAATGGAGCTGTTACCCATTAAACAGCTATCATTTAACATAGTGTCCCCAATTAGCTAATATACAGCTAGAAACATTGGCACATTAATAAAGTTTTTATTCATTCATTGACTGGTGCATTATACTTTCAATGCCAATTTCCCCTGAATGTTGTGTATGGAGGATTTAGCTTCTAGAGATGACCCTCACTGGGATAAAGCCAGACTATAGCTATGAAAATACAGGTACTTGTAGCCTGTGGTTTATATCAGAAGTGAGCTTGCTATAAAAGAGATCTTCCTGTACCAACAGTAGTTGCATTGTTGCATCATTTTCATCCTGGGCAGTGTTCTGCAATTGTAGCTGATTGAATGCATATGTACAGCCAGAATTCACCTTTTTCATAAACAGTAATTTAGCAA